AATGGCTGGTAGTTAGCCCTCAAGCGCTTTTAAACGGCAGTTTTTGGGAGTAAATGGACGGTAAAGGGATGGTAAATACAGTACTCTTGGTTTAACTAACCAACTGACTCCGTTCCTACTCACTGACTCATGAGGCCTTTTTCTTTCCTCAACAAAAACCAATTTATTATATGGTCAAGGTTTCGATATCTTGACCTGAAAACTCTAACCCGTTTCAGGTTCTTAATCAGTGAAGACGAGCACAAAAACGAGGACGCGAATTATGGCGTTCGTGAAATAAGCGGGAGTGATAAGAACAAGGCAGACCAAGCGATTTTCCTGACGTGGGCAACCTTTGTAAGCTTGAATGTTATTTTTCGCGCGTACCTTTTTCACTTGTCTTCGCCAACTGACGACCCCGGCACAGGTTAGGCAGATTTTGAAGCTAGCGGGTCCATTTTCCGACACCCATCTGGGTTTTTTGACATATTATTTTATAACAGAGTCGTCCACATTGTTTGTTTGCTTTTTTTGATAGGAAAAAGTCTGTCTTCGTTATCAAACAGCGGAAGAAGAAGAAGGAATGGACTTCTTAAGTGAAGCGGAAAAAGCATTTAAACTTCGTCATGAGAATATTCTTGCTTACTACGGCGTAGTCATTGCTAGTGCATATTCACCATACCCAGCTTTGGTAAGTTATTCACATGTATTCGATATATGCGTTAGATGGCTGATGATTCCTAGGATCTGTTTAGGACTTAAAATGTAACCCTTTATGGACTTAAGATGCTATTCAAATGTGTGATGGAAATGGGTTGCGGCAGAGCATACGATACAGTCAAGTGGATGGAGATGACACTGAAGCAAAATCACAAGCAAAATTGTCACTCACAATCCTCTAGCCTTGTTTAATTACAGAGATGCCATACTTTCCGAAAGGTTGAAATCGCTATAGTAGTGTTTTATTTATCTATTTATTTATTTCACCATCAAATAGTTCATCGCAAAAATCATCTAAATAGGTACGGGGCCCACAAGTGCACAACGAATTAAAAAACTCTACGCCGAATTCCAAATGCCCACACCAAATGCCCACACCGAGTACACACTTCTATAACCTGACAAACATCCAGGTCCATTCAGCTCTTCGTGTATTCTTGCTCTTACATCTTGATCGTCTAAATCTAAAAGATTTCTTCGTCGAAGGCCAAGTGACTTGAACCTTTCCTTTAGCGTTCTCAAGCTCATGTAGATTCCATGGTACTTTTGCAAAAAACACAAAGTAACTTCATACTCGTACCCCTCATTAAAGTAATACTTTAACAAAATCGGTTAATAGATATCGTTGCGCCACAGTCACCACATTTTAACGCTACTGTTCTAGTCGCCATTTTCTTTTCCCGATAATTCAATTCGATGAAACAATACTCGGTCCAGTCTCCCAGATCTTTGGAATTCGGTGTGAGCAATCTGAATTCGGCGTGGAGATTTAGAATTCGGTAAGGAGATTTCGAATTCGGTGTGGAGTTTTTAATTCGGTGTGAGCAATTTAAATTTGGTGTGGGCATTTGGAATTCGGTGTGGAGATTTAGAATTCGGTGTGAGCAATTTGAATTTGGTGTGGGCATTTGGAATTCGGCGTAGAGTTTTTTAATTCGGTGTACACTTGTGGGCCACGGTAAAAAAAATAGAGCATGTTAAGCTAGTTTTTGCTGTGGTTTCTTTTCATTTTCACTTTCTTCCTTTCTTTTTCTTTTTTAATTTCCTAGCCTGTATGGCTTGCAGTTTTGTGAGTGCGTTGAAGTTTTGTGTGCGCTAAGCGATGAGTGGCGACGCCGTCAGTCCATTTACGACTAGTTACCCGCGCTATCGGGCTATTCCCTTCATACTAACTTTTTTCATTATCTCTTTTTAAATATTTTTACTTTTGTTACGTTCTAGGTGGTCGAATTTGCGGAATTTGGAAACCTTTCAGAATCATCGCATTATCATACAATTGAACGCCTCTGGAGATTTACCATCCAGGCTGCAACTGCTTTGGAATACTTAGAGAGAAGGGATGTCATTCACCAATCTATTGTTGATTACAATTTCTTGGTTGTTGCTGGTTTTGAGGTAGTCATCTTTATTTTTGTCATTATTTTCACCATCACCAATGCTACTGCCAATTTGCCATTGCCACTGTCACTGTGTCGGAAGTGCATGAGATCAATAAGTTCAATCAAAGAATGGACCGTCTTGCACGTGTTAAAAGCTTTTAACAAATGACTTGTCCGGCCCCGCTAGCGCAGTCCCATAGAAAATCGATGGGTTGATGTGGGCCAATCCGGAAAAAGCTGTCCGCCCCTATTGCACTTCTATGGCGACATTGTTTCTTGTTGTTGCAAAAAAAAAAAGCAGTGACAGTAGTAAACAGAAAAGAGAAAGTAAGTCATGGTTTTCAATGAATTGTGAGTTTCTTGTTCTGACTCGAAAAAATAAAGGAAATTTTTTTGTTGTAGAATCTTTTTGTTTTTGATTTTGATCTTTTTTTTTCGTGCACGCCAGTCTATCGCGTCCTTAGTTAAATTAAAACAAACTTTCTAGAATATTTCAAAACGTAATCATAGAGGTCATATGATAAAATGCTTCTTTACTTAGTGCAGGCTGGAAAGGAAAATATTTGACTCTCGTTCATTCCCTTTGCACGGACCTCGCTGCGCTCGGTACCTACGTCATGACCTTGAGCCAAATATTTTCCAGTCCAGCCCTCCCACTCAGTCAATAAGTACGTAGTATAATTGAGTTCTTTTTCAGTAAATTGCTGGGACCTTGAAACATTTACATCTCAGTGAATTGTCGTGGATTTATTAAGTACGGGGGCGATTCGCGACATGTGGTAGGAGAAGGTGATCCGTCTCAGTACTATCGTATAATGAGAAGAGCATGACCCAGCTGAACCTACTGGATAAGAGACCTATTAAGACTAGTGACACGCGTCACGCAATTCAGTATGTTACGTAATCATCAGATTTGAGTTTTGTTACGTAATCTTTGGGTTTCGTTTTTTGAGTGACAGTTTTATATGAGAGGTGTGAGCACGTGGTTAAAAAGGTGAAGCAGGGTTTTAGTTCGAGCGGAAAAGTAGTGTAACCGTTGTTGTTAAGGGAAGTTTTTCGCATTAAACCGTAACCGAAATCATGTGTTTGTGTTGTTTACCGTGTTTCATCGTAGCTTCACCTACGTTTAAACTAATCCATGTTTGATTTCATCCTAGCTGAAGCTTGCTGGCCTGGCGTTTTGTTGGTTTAAAAAAGTAAACCTGAAAAAGTAAGTACACATTGCATCAGAGTAGATTTAATTTAATTTGTGAAAGCTCAAGCGATGAATATGTTGTTAACTTAAGCCTTATTGTGAAAAGATTATGGCTGAAAAGAGAGGAGAATCAAGAAATTCAGTCGTCATAATTTTAGTTGAATGCGAGAACGTTATCAACGAACTTGTCATTAAGCGTTGACACTCAAGGGTGTGCGAGCTGTTTCAAAGAGGTCGAAAGGTAGAACATACAACAGCTTTGAAACGTGCGTACCTGGACATGAGTTGACACGCTGGCGAAACCTACTGACCATCGCTGTACAATGTCCAGAAACGGATATAAACAACGGGGTCCCTTAGACACGATTCGTCGTTGATCATCGACTCTGACTCTCTCTCTTTATTTCCACCTAATCCTGTCTCTGCATACGCTTAAAACTGTAGGCTCAGAGCCATGCCGTGACCCTGAATTATCCAAAAAATAAGATAGGTCTCAACACTAAGTTAAGATTTGTGCAATCTTTACAGAAAGGTGAATCTAAACATGCTGATTTCAACTCATTAAAATTTAGAAAGGAAGTCACCAAACTCATCTTTGAGTCAAACAGTGACCTGTTGGTAGAATAAAAGGAGTGTTTAAAGAGTTCAAGGGCTATTATAATAACCGTAAACTTAATGTTTGATTGATTTTGGTAAATTTCACAGTAAGAAGAATCAACGAGAAAGAGGAAGAGCAGAAAATAGTGTACCTTTCATGTTCGGGAAAGTATTCTCCTCGATATTTTCCGCTTTATCGAGAAGGTATAAGAGTCATCCCAAACTTGAGGTGAGTTGTTTGTTGATATCCAACATAGGTTAGTTGAGCGGCTAACCACGGAAGTGTTTGGATATTATTTTTACATAACTTAGATAGGGAAGGATTTTAATTACAGCCGTCGCTGTGTAGTTACATATGGGTCTATACAATACGTTGAAAAAGGCAGATAAATTGTCCCATAAAGGATATTAACCAGAGAAAACCGAATGAATCACAAGCCAGTTAGAAAACATTCAACAGATTATGTAGAAAACCGACATAACTACAATTGTGAAACTGTTTTACCAACAAGTTAACATTCATTAATTTTATCATTGTAATTAATACCCACCAGAATCGACCAGCCAATGAAAACCAATGAGAAAGCAATCATTGAAAGCACAAATGAGCATTAGCCTTCTCTTAAAATGTTAAAGGATTGTTGTGATGCATTTGTCAGTACTGCTACACCAGCTACGCGATCCGCTCGTTTTTTACTTCAGCTTCCTCTAATAAACATGTTTCTCAGTTCCATCGGAGGTGATCTTTAGCAAAGGTTGGGAAGTATTATTAAGCAGTGTTAGTGATGTCTTGTTTTCCTTTCAAATCGTCACGTTTCTTCCTTTAAACTGATCCATTCTCCTTTCTAGGCACTCTCAAATTGGAACGACGTAAAGTTTGGTCACATTTGCCCTTCTCATTTTTGTGACGTTTTTCAGCGTTGTGTACTGAACAGCGTACGCATGCCACCTTCTTTCTCAGAAATCAGGCAATCTCTTGTAACACAGGTTAGTGCGGTATGATAAATGACAAATTTTTACAGCACGCCATGCAAATCTTTTTCTGGAACGATGATGATTTTCTAATTATTGAATGAGTTTCGAAAACTTTGCTGGATTTTGTGAGGATTATTAGAAAGCAGGTTGTTGGTCAAGAAACGGGAGGGAAACGAAAACTGCCAAGATCTTTGGAGAGCGATAAGGCGAAATAAGAACAGTATGCCAAAATTTTGCACTTCATGGAAGAATCTCTGGGAATGACCAGCAAAAGGCTTCGCGTGCAGTTTCAATGAGGACGTTTCATTCTGCCCTGCCAGAATCAGAAAGATCGTTAATACCGAGAAACTCGCAACTTCACCTAAATTTAGACTGGTGACACCAACTTCAAAATTAAATTCTTTTGTGGTCCAACTTAGACTGTTACACCAGTTATGGAAATAGTTGTGATAGTAATAATAATGATGATGATGACGACGACGGCGGCGGCGGCGGCGGCGAGTAGTGTAGAGGGCGTTCTTTGAGTTCTCTTAAAGACGACTCTTAAGCGAAAGCAAGCTAACTTCGGAGCATGAACGCATATACAAAGAGCCTGATAAAGTGCTGAGCAGCTGTTTCTAGCAGAAAGCTAGTCAGTTTTGTGACTCTGGAGGCGACTAAGTCTGTTTTTAATAATTCGTTTCCTTGAAACAAGCTTCGGAGCGTAATAGCGAAAAATTAACAAGAACAGAATTCCACGCACAGGAGAGGGCGTTTGAAGTGGACTGAAGCAATGAACACCAATTGATGGAATGTAAGAGAAAGGCCTTAGAACTGGTTCATTCAAGTTATCCACCAAGGGACCAGACTGGAAGGAAAAAGGGCTCTATGGCCGTAATGAAGGAGTTGTGGGACGAGAGTGAGTTCGCTCATATGAATCTATCTAGTCAAAATCTTAGAGATCAAGCAGCCAGGATTGAAAAGCCGCTGGGCAATGTAAGAGCTACTATCAGGAAGGAGGTAAATGCAAATAATGACGGGAGTTTATTAGATGCAGTAAGTTTAGAACGCAACGAAGGGCAAGGTCTCGAACAAGTAGTTTGCGAAATCGATAATACCTCAACTTAAGATGAAAATTTGCACACGCAAGTAAATCATCAGTCGACGGTGAATAATAGCATCCCATCGCAAATAAGCACCGAGGTGAATACCATTGTTCAAATGGCACATCTAATCTTTGCATCAGTGAGCGCAAACCAAGGGGATTTTAGGAACCGAGCAATTGACACCCGAACAAAGAAAATACCAATTAGGGGTGATATTGCTAACATCAACTCAGCCTTGGAGGAGCTATTGAAACTTAACAACCAAAACGATATCATTAATCCAGCTCAAGAACCTTTCGTTTATCTATGGTTAGCAAATTGTCTCTTGTATGCGATTGTAGCGGCGCTTTTGACAGTGAAAGGATGGACGAGAAAGAAAACTTCTCACACAAGAGAAGGTAAAGCGGAGTATAAGCAGAAAGAGATGTACGAGAGGCAGGCTGGAGAGGTTCGAAAGAATATTTCTATGGCAAAAGCAGAGATAGGAAGAATAAAGTCCAATCGGAAGATCACAAGAAAAGGGAGGCGAAATCAAGCTAAACTATCGAAGTCTTGCAAAGTGATCTCAGTGGCAGCGTCACTGAGTTACATGGAAAAAGAAAATTCTAATTGAGAAAGCTTAAGCGAAGTTTTGTATGGAGGAACAGGCGCGTAGCGTCCTCTACGCATATACGCACGTGCGTACTTGAAGTGACCAGAAAAATTTGAAAACAATGCTGTGTTTGCGCCAAGTTTGCTAAAAATAAGGGCAAAACGCTTTGTTCTTTGCTTGTATTCACACAACTATTTCAAACAAGAAATAAAGAACGCAGTATTTTTCGCTCAGTTTACTTAGGTTTCTAGATCATATGTACTTGTACGTACTTGAAAAAATGACCACGTTATGCGCCTGAGGAATAAGCTAGATGAGGCCAGGCAGGTGATCCGGAAGTTTCAACAGGATCCTGGAAGTGTATATTCTTGTTTTGGAAGAATGCTTGAAAAGCAACAAGAAAACGGGAAGCCAAGGTATGATCAAACTCTGTTGCAAGGGCAACAGGATGAAGTTTGAAAATATCGAAGAAGCGATTGAATTTTGGAGAGCATTATGGGAAGGAACCGAGAGTGGAAACGCGGGAATGGAATGGACTGAGGATGTAAGAGAGGCAATAAAGGAAGCTGTTCCTGAGATACCCACAGCCGAGTTTAAACTTACGGGCGACAAAGTAGGGCATTCGATCAGAAAGAAGAAGAACTGGAGTGCACCTGGCCCAGATCTCCTTGCGAATTTTTGGTGGAAAAAAGTAGTTGTCTTGCATCACGACGTGGCTGGGAGTTTTGAAGCAACCGTGGCGTATGAGAGGGACTTTCCCTTGCGGTTTTCTGGAGAAAAAACTAGTTTGCTACCTAAACCAGGGGAATTTACGAAAGACAACCAGAGACCAATAACTTGTCTAAATACCTTATATAAGTGGTACACTTGGTGCCTCCTTGTGGATGCAAATCATCACCTACTGAGTCATGTTCTAACGCAAGGAGACCAAAGGGGGGCTAAACAGGACTGTTCTGGTGCTGGCAACAACCTGCTCATTGATCGCATGGTGTGCCAGGATGCACAGAGAGGCGATAGAAATCTGAGCATGGCGTGGATTGATGTCTCTAAGGCCTGCGACTCGGTGGATCATCGATGGTTAGTTCAGATGTTCGAGCTTCACAAATTTTCGGAATGGTTTTGCGTCTAGATAGGGAAACTCTCTAAAAGTTGGAACACCCGGATTGTCACGGAAACTAAGCAAGGTTACGAGAGAGTTCAGCGATTATCCATTTGAAGAAGGGTCTTCCACAGGGTGATTCCCTTTGTCCAACATTGTTCACCCTGTGCCTCAACCCTATTGTTTGGAAGTAGAGAGCCACAAGCGGTTACAAGTTATAAAAACCGATCTCCTGAAAGGTTACACACCTGTTATACACTGACGATTTGAAGATGTATGTATCATCGGAAAGCAATTTAGAAAGAGTCATCAGAACTGTAAAGGGAGGAATAGGCTGCATTGGTTTGAAATGGAACGAGAAAAAGTGTGCGGTAGTGCATGTGAAGAGAGGATACGTAAAACAAACGGAGAACATGGAGATTGATGAGCTGAAGTCGATCAAGAGCTTTGGAGAAGAAAGTACGTACAAGTTTCTGGGTGCAATAGAGAATTCTAAGCAGGAAGATAAGCTGGTTCTTGAAAATGCGTCGAAGGGGTACTTGCGCAGATTAGCGATTATTTGGTCCAGTCCACTCTCAGACCATGCTAAGGTAGCTGCAACTAACCAGTGTGCGCTTCCTGTATTATTGTATTTTATGTGGACGCAGACGTGGCCACTGGCATAGCTGCAACAAGTAGACAGAAAAAAAAAAAAGATCATTGTAGGAGGGGGGGGGGGAGGATCACCCCCAAGGATCAACAGCGATATTGTACATGAGCAGGAAGTGTGGGGGTAGAGGATTAAGATCGGTGGAGACAACATACAAGGAAATCAAGATAACGGATATGAAGCTCTACGGTAACCCAGATCCATCTATGGAGGCAGTAAGAATGTTAGAAAAGAAGTCAGCGAGAGTAGGGCCTCACTCAGTTATCAAGGATGCAAGCAAGTATGTTGAGGAGATGGGATTTCAACTCAAACTGGAGCACCCGGAACCAACATGCATCACCGATGACGGTAAGGAAGTAAAAGGAAAGAAAGTTAAAGGGTGTATAGCTAAGGCGCGACAGGAAGAAGTGCAAGCCAAAGTGAAGGAAGAAAAGTGGCAGGGGAAGATGATTTGTAACCGATGGGAAGATGAGCAGTTAGACTAAGGAGATTGCTTGGCTTAGTTGTTGGAAGGCGGCACCCACGCAGGTAGTTGCTGGTGCACAAGAACTTTACCAACAACTTTTTCCAACAAAGGTTTTCTATCATAGGAAGACTGGGACGAGTGTTAGCGGAGATGAGAGGTGTCGAATGTGCGGGAAGGCTACAGAGTGTCTCACATATCTTAGCTGGTTGTGGGGCATTAGCCCAGACGTTGTTTTTGGCAGGGCATAACAACGCTCTTAAGATTTTATTTTTTCGAGTGATCAAGGCGTTGGACCTAGTTAATAATAATAATAATAATAATAATAGTTAATCTTTATTGAGGATGCCAACATCACAAAAAAGTGGTTTACAGAGGGATCCTCTAAGTTACATCAAAGGTTCCGTGGTTTTCGAAGACCCAGCCAAAGCCTATGTCTGAGAATGAGAGGGCAATAGCATATTGGGACATACCTCTTAACGCAGATAGCATGCATGTAAAGGCGAATAGGATCGATGCCACCATCGTGGACAAGGAGAACAAGAAAGTATCGGCGATAGAGATGAGCTGCCCGTGGGTTAAACACTGGGAGGAGAAAGCTGTCGAAAAAAACAGCAAAGTATGGGCCACTGCGCTGGGAGTTTGAGCAGAGATACCCTGATCATCGTGTGACACAATACAATATTGTTGCGAATGTACTCGGAGGTTATTCAAGAAATGTTGGAAAGACATTTAAAGAACTAGTGGGAGATGAGAGCGACACAACAGCTCTGCAGATACAGAAGTCAGTCATCACAATTTCGTTCAATATTGCGAGGCGCTTTAAGATTTTGGGATAAGGGATATTAGACGTTTTATCACATTTAAGTGTTTCCATAGTGATGTATAGAACCTTTAGTATGTATAGAACCTTTAGTATTTAGATTGAGGATTTTACTAAATAGCGATTACGTTTAGGACTAAGGTTTTTATGATTAGGAATTGCCATAGTTCGCTCAATATTGCGAGGCGCTTTAAGACTTGAAATAAGGGATATTAGTTGTTTTATTACATTTAAGTGTTTCGTTAGTGATGTATGGAACCTTTAGTATTTTGATTGAGGGTTTTACTACATAGCAATTAAGTTTAGGATCTTTATTACTAGGGTTTTCATGATTAGGAATTGCTACAGGAATTTTAATTGTAAGGACTTTAGTCGTTGCATTGATTAGCTACGCCTTGCCGCCCACTCATTGTACTGGATATGTGGGCATCCAGACGTTTTTACTGCCGATAACAACAAATGTTATTACATAAGTTATTAATACAATTTCATTGGACATTACAGGAACACCCTTTGAAATTGAGGGTTACTTGCAAATTCGAGGCGTCAGAAGACGGTTTTCTAAGCTGTAATCCTGGCGAAATCATAACTCTGATTTCCAAGACACGACACAAGTACGTACATCGTAGTAATGTTTCTGACTCACGTCTCTTTTTAACGAAAGTAATACAATAGCATATAATGCTTCTCTGCAATTCAATGATTTACAAGCTAATTTTATTTTAAATTTGAAAGGTTTGAAGCGGCAGCGAAATGAGACATATTTCTTTTGACTTATCCCTTGCAGGTATGACAAAACAATATGGTTTGGTGTCACACAAAGTGATCAAATAGGATTTTTCTGGAAGGAGTACGTCAAGGAAGTAGTAGATGATAATGTTGATGGTAAGTACCACTTCGTTACGACCCCAGCTTTGACACAGTTTTCAGAAAGGAAAATGTCTGAAATCCATTCCTTTGTAGGTTCCGTCATACCTCCGGAGATTCAGGCGCGAGGCCCTAGAGCTGAGCTTGCCTTTCAGAAGGCATTACGGAATGGCAGAGTGCAAGTTTTCCGTGGTCGCATCATGATACTCGGTCAGGACCGCGCAGGGAAAACAAGTCTCAAAAAATCTCTACTCGGCATGCCCTTTAATCCCGAGGAAGAGAGCACTGTAGGAGTCGAAGTAGACCCATCCAAGTGCGAAGTCGATGTGGATCAAGTAACGAATTGGCAGCGAACAGAGCAAGCGAAACTGGATGTTTCTCACTTTGTTGAAGACATAGCAAGGATAGTTGTTAAAGACTTAAAGGAAACAGAAGAACCGAAGAAGACAAAAGATGTCCCTTCGTTTTTGGAGCAGGTAAAGTTAAATCTTTGGGGGGTCACTCTTGCCGATTTTACTCATCTACGTGACATCAGTGTTCTGTTCTTCCTTCCCCCTCTTCAAACTCTGTCTCTTTGACATCTTTCTTTAATGGCCAAATTCATTTCACTTTTCAGCTTTCGACTGATTCTCGCTCAAACCGATTTTTTTTCCCATTTGTATTTTCGTTTGTTGCCAATGTAGATGTAGATCTTATTATATATATAGGGCTACAATGATGAGTTGCAAGCTGACAATCCAATGCCAGTAGATACAATACCCTCGTCTACCCTAAACAATTCATCATCAAGAAGAGAGGAGGACGAAAACGCGACGATCGACGACATCAGCCACAGTGGTGTACCAGCAAGCAAACTAGCTGACCTAAATGTTCAGCTAAGCGTACATACCAGTTCAGATTTACAGAATGATGTCACGGAACTGGTTGTGCAGTACCTGCAGGCTTTGAGACTAGAGGATCACGTTAAGACGAAAGAAACCAGTTTCACTCTGTGGGATTTCGCCGGGCAACATCTGTACTACGCCTCGCACTCAGTATTCCTTTCTTCTCGAGCTGTTTATGCCTTAGTTTACAACTTGAGCAAAGATCTGAATGCTCCAGCTGAACCCCGAGTCAAACAGGGTATTCATGATATTGTACTAGAGAAACAGAACAGCGAGACAAATTTGGAGAGTTTGCTGTCGTGGCTGGTTTCTATTCACAATATTTGATCAACAGCTGACGAGCCAGGCAATGATCAGCAAGAGAAAAGATCCTACCTACGCCCTCCAGTCTTCATCGTGGGCACAAACGCTGACAAACCTTTCGACGATGTCAAGCAAATGGAAAAGTGTATTCAAAGGAATATTTCAGGGAAGGTTTATGAAAAGCACGTGATTAGGCCAATGTTTGCAGTTGATAAGTCACGATCGAAGGGTGACGATGGTGTTCAAGCGCTGCAGCAGAGGATCATGGAGGTTTTCAGAAAAGAACCCTACATGGGTGAAGAGATTCCAATTAGGTATGATAATTGAAACAACTCCAGTTTTCCTGTTAGCTTAGGTCAGTATAAATGCATATAGGTGTTCTATCGCGAACGCTACATTCTGATTGGCTGCGTTTCTCGCTATCTTTTACAACGAAAGAAGATAAAAGCATGACCCTGTCGTGTTTTAAAGTTTGGAGCGACAATTAAGTTATTTACTGTCGATTATGTGTAATAGTTGATTTGAGCTTCGCCCTTGTCAACTGTTGCGTGAGAGAGATCTTGAGCTCATAATGTAATCGTTGAATAGCGTAATTGTTATGTTGGGAAAACAGGAAATATTTCAATAAAAAATGTAAAGTCTTATAAAAAGTGTTTTGGCCGTATTAAGGGGATTGTTAATAAATGTGACTGTTCTCATTTGCTTGATTCGCTTTTGATTCACAGAGTGAAACAGCGTGCACCTTACCTCGTGTATAACTCTGTTTTTGCCTACCCATAGGTGGTTCAACTTCGAGAAAATCATCGAGGCTTTGGTAGCAAAGGGAACCTATCACATGCACTCTGATCCGCTTCTAAAGGTTACAAGGAAAGCTTGCCAAATAGACGACAAGGAGGAAATGACTGCCATGTTGAATTTCTATCATGACTTGGGAGTGATCGTAAAACATGGCCGCACTGTTGTACTGCAGGCACAGTGGCTGATCAACCTTTTTAAGCGATTGATAACTGTGAGACCGTTTGACGAAATAGTAAGTAAAGTGTACTCATGCCTTCTGCAGACACAGGAAATCTCAAGAATGCTTGGCTACGTTTCCACGAAGCTGTTCCACCTTTTCAACTTCCTTTTTTTGTTGTTGTTTCCTTATATGTGCTTGTTGCCCCAATGGTCCAGATGATGAACAGTGGCATCGTCGAAACCCCCCTTTTTCTTTTTTTTGTTTTTCTTTCTTTATTGTTCTTTTGGTCTCTGTTTTTGTTTTTCACCTCTGTTTGTTTGGTTGAGGCAGGTTTTAGTGTTAGATTTCCTATGAAGCGCGACCTATGTGATGAATAGATTTGTTGTCGGAACGCACTCCAGCTGAAATGTGGATATAACAAACTTGCCACTTCATAATCTATTTTGTGATTTCCATTTTCAGGATCCTCTGTACTCAGAATGCTGGAAGGAGCTTGAGGAAAGCGGTATCCTAAGGATGACCCTCGTCGATCACGTTTTCGCCGATGTAATTCAGAATGGGCTATCCAAGGAGGACGTTTTGGATATGATGGAGATGTATGGCTTAATCGCTAAATTTTCCTTTTTCCCATTTACTTCCGAAGATGGGCAGAGATACTTTGTACCAGCTCAGTTAAAGTCATCCCCAGGAGGTCTGTGTGAGATTAAGAAGTCTAGCCATGATCCATGCCCTTTTTATCTTCATTTCCTTGATGGCTTTGTACCTCATGGGTTATTCCCTCAGCTTTTGTCGAGGTTCATCGGCTGGTCTTCAGAGGGCGGTCCCAATCAAGCTCCAAACTTATACCACAACGGTGCGCGGCTTTTCATTGGAAGGAAGAACATTTACAGTCTCATTCTTATCTGCCGAAAACGATTTATTAAGATCGTGTTGAAACAAAGGGGCTCCGCGTCGAATCCTTCGTTCATGAATGTCGCTCAGGAGGTTCGCGTGTATCTTGAAGATAGATTGCAAGAGCTTAGTCTCGAGTTGCCATGGCTACGCAACCTCAGGTATGAACTGAGTATTGCATGTCCCAGTTGCTTAACTCACGGAGAAGAATGTGCTAAACATGGAATAGTCTGCTGTGCTCACGATGATTGTCTTCATCTCCTTCGAGTAATTCCAGGGGAGCAGCTGTTTTGTCCAAAAAGCTTCAACGATGAAGCTCTTCATGTTGATGGACTAGAAAACTGGTTTCAAGGTGATAAAGCAAAGGTAATGTTTTAGTTTTTTGTTTCTCCTTTGGCTTTTACTTATTTTGTTTGTTTTTGTTTAGTTTTGTTGCTTTTTTTTACCTCGACCAAGTAAATGAATGAGTAATGCAGGAGTTGTATACATGAAATTTCCAATCGCATTTTTGCATATGAAGTTAATGACCCAGACAAGCTGTAGAACTTGTGGTTCGCGAATGAATATCGAAACAAATACGTTTAACATTGTAATAGAGAAGCTCTAGAGCATTGACTTCATGATTTTCCTCTTCTAAGGCAGCATCATGTCTCGTATAGTGTTATTAAGCTTTTCTTTTACTTTTATTCAGGATGAAGGAGAGATGCACATGATACCTTCATTGGACTCTGAAGGTTAGAAAAACTCATACCATGTATGTCTTTTAAGAGATAGGGCCAGTGGTTTAGCTGGAGGTAGATGCTTTAAGATGACAAGAAATCGCATAACAGCAACATTCATGTTCTCTCACTCTTAGTAGTGAAAAGGTCGAGTTTTGAGTTGTGGATGGTTTTTTGGCTGATTTTGTTCCTTTTTATTGACGACTGATGGTTGACAAAAGTTAAAAACACAATCCTAAATCGAATCGTGAATATTACTGTTTGTGTGTAATACAAAATCGCCACAGGACCAGGAACCACTCGCGACATGTGTTAACTCCAGAGGAATCTTAGCAATAGCTGTTTCCTTGATCATTTCAACAGTGCTCCAGCGACCCTTCCCTTCCAAAATGGGCACACCCTCGACAGATGACCTCCTCCTTCTTGCTTTTGAGTTGGGTTCATCGTGGAAGATGCTGGGTCGGACACTCTCTCTTCCTGAAGCAGTGCTGGAGCAAATTGAGGAAGACAACCCCAAGCTGAATGAAAAATGTTTCAGCATGGTTAGAAGATGGACTGAGATGTTTGGCTCTTCGGCTACATACGAGTCTTTGGCACGAGCTTTGCAGCATCCTGCGGTGGGTCGAGGTGGGCTTGCTGTCAAATACTGCGACGTCCCCGGAGCTGTTTACAAAGGTAAATAAAAACTGTCGAACAAAACCTTTAGATAAATTATTTACAGGTTTTTGTCTGATGGAGAAGTATACCTCAGAAAGTACACAAGCTTTATGTCCGCTGCAGTTCATAAACAACCACTGTTTTGGTTGTCAGCCTTTCTTTTCTCATTCAACAGAAGCTCCAGTTCCTCGTTACAAGAATTCATTGCGAAACCGGTGTGAGCTAAATTTACGTCACTGGCAAGCTGCCAGGTTGCTAGGCAGTTGTCATTATCGTAATTTACGTTTTAATGACAGGGATAAAAAATTAATGGATTAAGGGGCTGACGCCTCCTTGAAAATATTTTCCTTTCGTCTTACTGCCTAGTGATTTAGATATATCAACATTTTTTCCTAACTGAACAGGCACAGAAGCTTTACCGGTCTCCTTCAAAATCCTAGATGATTCGAGTTGGAGTTGCCCAGTTTTTTTGTCTTACCAGTGGGATTTGCAAGAGATTGTTAAGGGACTAAAGAAGAGAATTGAAGAAAACGGGATCCAGTGTTGGATGGATATTGGACAGATGGGAGGAGGCGATGCCTTGTTTGCTAAGATAGATCCTGGTATTCGAGCGTGCAAGGTGAGCGTTAGGTTCGGAATGGCGTTAATAAGTCCCATAAGTGATGTAAAGGGATTTTTATTTCTTAATTTTTGACTCGTAGGAATCTTTATGATGTTTGAATGACTAACTTTCTTTTCATACCGACTAAATATGCGATTCAGTCTTTCCTGATAATGTTATCTTCTTTTGCACCCAATTAATTCGTGTCAGGTTTTTATGAAGTCTTCTTGCTTGCCTTCATTTGTAGGTCTTTGTTTGCTGTGTAACGAAAAGGTACTGCCAATCTGACGCCTGTCAAAGGGAAGCTACCCTTGCTTGCAGCCTGAAGAAGCCCATTATACCTCTGCTGTTCGAAGATCTGTCCTGGCCACCGGAAGGTCAACTGGCTCTGATCTTCACCACTCTTCTTTACATCAAGATGGCCGTAGACGATGGAACGATTCCTGAGGCACAGTTTCAGGAGATGATGAGAAAAGTGGGAGAGTTCGTTCAAACGTGACAAAACTGCTGATACTGTCAACAACAATAACAATAACATTTATTATTTGTATTGCGCCTTTTCTATAAAATATTCAAAAGCGCAGTAAAAGCAAATATTCAAAAGCGGCACTTCTTGAACTGTTCAGGGGTGAACTCCTCGCCTGAATACTCTAACAATTGGTTTATGATTTCAATTTGAAGCTGCTCACATTTAATAATTCGTTTGATATACACCATCTACTTTGACTCGAATTCAACCAATCAATATCTGTGTATGGCCTGAATCAACATGAATTTAATAGTATCAGTGTTGGACAGATGACTTATTTCGTTTTGTCGCTCATCTATGTGCAAATCTGATGGAGGATTGATGGTAAATTATGCAGTATGTGGCTTAGCTATCCTCATTACCAAGGTTTACTGTTTGCCGCTATCAGAGTTTTGCTTAGTTGCCGAAAATTAAACGATTACATTTAGCTGATGCCATATTTCATAATGTGATTAGATATTTTAAAGGAACTTGCGCCAACATGGCTTGCATCTTAATTCATAGTTAGCTTTCAGTTAACCTTATGAGAAAACCTTGGGTGATTTTACGCTGTTTTTAATCCCAGTTTTACAATTGTATGTCAAATATAATTTAGTTAGATAAACGGTAGCACTTAAAATAGGGATCTAAAGAAATAAAAGAAATGTAACTTGCGCATGCTCAGATCTGTAGAATTAGGTTGACATAATTGTTGAAATACTTCTCACATTGTTTAGAGCCATGGTGTGTCTCGGTATGAAAGGAAAATTTCTGATGATGTTTTTATTTGGAAAATTGCTGTGGGCCATTTCTGTGTTTTTGTTATGACCCCAAATTCACGTCTTTCGTCCGTCACTGTCGCTCCTTCTTTCCATTCTTGTTAACTTTTCGGTAGGTTGGCTAACTAGCGTTCTAATAAGGCTTTCGCATGTTCAGTTCCTCGCATGGGGGCGCAACTGATAACTGAGAATTGGTTAAAAGTCTTGGGGAATAACACGTATTTTACTGGCAGCTGAGATCTGAGTACAAGAGATTTTAGTTTTGGAGGAAAATGAGCTGAAGTGAAGACTGCATGCATGAGCTTTGCTTACATATTGCACATTTCAGGCACTCGGATGAATATAACAATTATAATAATAATAATAATAATTTACCAATTTATATAGCGCGTATTTACATATGCTGATCAATAGCGCTTAAATATACTGTTGGAAGGCAATGTTCCGTCTGGAATTTCAGTGTTCATAGGGCTTCTCTACAAAACCTTCCTCCCGAATTTGAATATTCAACTGCCGAAAGACACAATATCGATGAGCTGTACTCTTAATTATTAAAACCTCCGCTTTTTTTCAAAACATGAAAAGGAAAGACAAATGTTGCGCTTTGGTAATTAATGCACAATGAATAGTGACGTTCTGGGCGAAACGAGTAAGACATGATTTTGAAGGGGAAGGTAAATATCAGTAAAAGGGAGAAAAGAGGAACGGGAAAGAGAAAGAGAGAGAGAAAAAAAACTTGGAGTTGCTTAAAATCGGTCTTCAGACCTCGTTTTGAGAGGAGAATTTTTCAATGGGCCCAGAATACAGAATTAACGTACTTGAAAATTGTAACGTGCCTTTAGGGACAGGTTCACCGGAGTAGACCATACAGAGAAACGTGGCCTTCCTTAACTAAAATTTTTTAAATACTATGTCAGGTCAGTGGCCTCGACATCTTATCCCCTCTTTGATTCATTTCTCAACTCAGCGGCTTACCTTGATTTTAGAGTATTTTGCCAAAATACGTTACGAAGAATTTCTTCCAATCGACATCACAACTTCGACTAAAAGCCAGGGTTTTAAACTTGAAACCTGTTCTATTGAAATCACAAGAAAGTTCATTAAAGGCGTTGATTATTCTTTTAACGAATATTCTTTTCTTGTCTTTTTATTTTTGATGATGAAATACCCTAAGAAAGTATTCGGCCCGCACGCTGATCGTAGATGTCGTTCGTAACTCATCCATGACGATTCACGGCTCGCCTGATGAGTACAATTAACAAGGAATACCCATGGTCAGGTAGTATAGGCAAAACTCCTGAGATCTAAATTGCTTCAAGTCACGGTTCGACATCAACGGAACATTGACAATACCGTGTCGTTAAGATAATAAGAAAACTTAACAAGGATATTTGACGGATGAAGAGTTCCCGCGATTTAAATAGTCAGCGGTGAGGCAGCTATTCAATTATTATGCAGGTATGGTTTACGATTTTTATACAATCAACCAAGTGACAATTCCCTAATTATTTGGCAGGCAGTGGTATGGGGTAGTAAATCGTTGGATTTAATTCTAAGATGAGACTTGAAAAAGGTATCTTTAGTTAATTTTTGTTCCTCTTCTTTTGTTTGCACGAAGGCGATGTGTATGTACGAGCCAATTAGACTGTACTGCGAACCACTTCCTTATTCGCATCTCAGTAGCGCTACCGATCTCGGACTTAAAATGTAACCATCCATCGGCATGCATTAACAATATGTTTTCCCTTAGATCTAACTTTTATTATTTAAAAAGAATGGGTTGGGGTGAAAACTGAGCAAACGACACTTAACTACTTTGCTGAAAGAAAAAAATAAAATTCCATCAGTTCGTAACGAAATTTGCTGAATAATCACTTGATCATGATGAGCATTTTGTTACGTCTGCTCTATACCTCTGATCCAAGGCTCGGCACTAACGTTAATCAGCAACCCACAGACTAGTAGAAACTCCGTGTTGGCACTGAAGTGGTTTTCGATTTTCGATCCACTGGCCAGCCGTTTGGCTAGTAAACAAACTGTAATTGTTGTAACATCTAAGTTGTCACTAGTCACTTGGCTAGTAAGTTGAAAAGTTGGTGTCGAGCCCTGCTGATCTCCATTTTACATTTCTCATATTATCCTCCCTCTGCATGTTGTCTAGGGTGTGCTTTGTGCATTTGATCGAATGCCGTCTTTTATAGAATGGGTTTGTAAAGCGAACAGTATTTGTGTGTGGCTTACATTTGTGAGGAAATTGCACTTTCATCTACTTCTCTCATAAATTAGCACTTCACCATATAAACTGAAGTCTTAAGGATATTAAAAATCCTACCCCCAAATTACATTGCTGCCAAAGTTAGAAGTCTCAAAGGTCATCTACATTTACTCCCTCATAGGGAAGAACAAAATTGTTGGTGAATTTTGTAAGAGAATAATTGAAGCATTCATGCAGATCATTCTCATTTGCGGAAGTAGTCTGATAGCACTACAGCCAACTTAGGCTAGGTTGTTCAAAGGGGGTCAACGTTAATTTAGGATTAAAAGTTAACCTTGACTTTAATTTCTCATGTAAAAGAGTATGTGGGACAAGAAATATAAGTGATAGAAACCGACGTCTCGGTACACCTTGCGCCATTATCAAGGTTACATAATTAATGGTAAAATGCGGTTTGTGAAGAGACTAAGTTGAAGCGAATTTGCATGAAGCGTGTTAAGCAATTGTTCGTGTCCCTGTGAAGGGACACCGTCACGCGCGTTGAGGGACACCATCTATTTACAGCATTATTATCCAACTACACTCCGTAGAGTACAAATAACACCATAGACGAGTACAAATATCACGCGGTATTTGTACTCCAGAGAACCGGTTGGACAGGTTTTCTCGCATCGCGCAAGCGAAGAATGGCGCTGCGCGTTTGTGACTTCACGAAATTTTGACCCCCTAAAGCGATTAGGACAAACAAACAGGCTTCTCGAGTAAATGAATATGGGCGATGATGCGCCCATCTCTAGTTCAAACGCCTCTAAAGCTCATATTTTAAATCAAAACGACGGTGTTCCTGGCTCAAAGTTCGAGCAAAACCAAGAGAACTATACAAACACACAATTGAAGCGTTGGTTAAAGTGTAGAGGCTTGAAATTGAGCGGAAAATGAGCAAACCTCATAGCATGTGTTCGTGACTGCCTCAAGTCGGGAGAACATTATGTAGTTGATTCAAGTATAGATGATGGGAAATGGCTTCAGGCGAAGATACTAAAGGAAAGTAAACTCGATCGCGTGAAACTTAAGGATCTAACAGTTCAATGTAAAAAGGGGTTTGACAGGCCTACACGACTCCCCAGCGCGTGTTTAGAATAGCCTATTCAAAGTTTGGCCCTCACGAGTATGTCTTTGAGCGATCACCCTCATTTTTAAGACGCGAGTGGCGGAATTTTGTATAGTTCGCTCAGTACTGGTTGTTTCTATTAAATGCCAGTGTCTCATGAAAATTTGCTTTAGGTCTGGCACTGATGGTTGGTATTATGTAATAAAAGGCAAGATTAATTGGTTCGTGTTCGGTTTCTGTTGAAGAGCTAGTTTCCTGTTTTGAAATTCACCTCTGAAAGGGTTGTGTTAATGAGGGCCTCTGGGTGGCCTCTCTTTCGCAAATGCGCTTTGAAATTTGCAATTTTCTCTTCTAATATTGTTTGAGAGGGGTTTGTTCTGAGAAGTCTAAGGGCCTCTCCTTTTATTAAGCCTTTCTTAACTCCTGGTGGGTGACCACAGGCAGCCCAAGCTCTCTTTTATATAAAACAGGCGAGAACAAATCATCAATTGTTTTCCTTTTCTAGAGTGGGTGCGAAAATATGGAATGGCATCCCCCCTGAAATTCGTAAGCTAAGGAAAGCACCTTTTAAACGTGAGCTAACTCACTTGCTTTTGAAAATTCTTGAAATTGAGGAGATGAATGTTGACTTGCGCTACCTTGACCTTTCTAGCTTATATTTGTATTTCAACTGATTAGCTTTCTCTTTGACCTGTTATAAACTCCCTTGTGTGACTGGCTCAGTTAAAACCTTATACATGATTATCACTACTATTATTTATTATTTATTTTCATTTACTCATTTATTTATTTATTTCATTGTTGCGTGTGTGTGTGTGTGTGTGTGTGTGTGTGTGTGTATGTGAGAGCCTATACAGTGTCTGTTTAGGTAGCCCGCCTAGAATAGCTACGCTAACTGCGGGCTACAAAAGCCTTTATATCTTTAATTTAAAAAAAAATAATGATAAAGTCAAAAAGTCAAGTCAAAGTTGAAGCTTTTAATTCTCGTTTAGTTCCTTCGACTTCTTTCTCCAATTGTTTCATTGAAGATTCTACCTTTTTCATGATTCCTTTTACTTCTGTATCATTCTGATACCAGCGCTGCAATTCCTCCACATGTCTCATGTCGTCTTCAGTGAGAGGATCTTTTAAAAATGTAGCAAAAGCATTCTGCCATTTTTTTGCCTTTGCAGGGCTGATCTGACCCGCTATTCTCACCAGAGCCTCGNCAACGGGTTTATTACGAATCAACTTAACGGCCTGCTCCCAGTTGGCTTGTTAGCTCAATTGGTAGAGCGCTGCACTAGTATCGCAGAGGTCAGTGGTTCGAAACCCGTACAGGCCTGATTTTTTTCAGGTCTGGTTTTCGCTATTGCATAAATAGCGCTGTCTACTGCGAGGATCGTGCATCATACGTATCTATAACCGCAGTTCAAAATATGTGAACTTCATATATTCATCGTATCCAAAATAGAAACAGCAACACGACAACGCGCCAATTCCGTTCCGCTCCGCATACTTCTGTCACGCACTCCCCGTAAATAAATATCCGCGAAATTCGCCCGCACTGTAATAACAATTCGGCATGTTGGATGATAAATAACTTATTAGACGTTTTGTTTTGTAGTATCGCTGAGTATTTTTATTTGTTGTTTGTATTTTGACTCGCTCTACGGACTCATCAGATACGGCACAACTCGTAAAAATACTCAGCGACACTACACAATAACTGAGATATATTTACTCCAAAGAACATGACACTGCTGTTCCGAACAAACCCTTAGCACGCTTCAATGTAATCAAGAAATGCATAAACAAGTTTGACTGCCTTGTTAATGAAATGCTGTGTATTCACGATCTTAAACCAGCATTGAATGTACAGTCGCATTCTCTTCGTGCTAAAGTATTCATGTAATTAGCTTGGCACTCTTTTACGCAAATTCGCTTCAACTTAGCCTCTTCACAAACCGCATTTTATCATTAAATGTGTAACCTTGATAATGGCGCAAGATATGCACCGAACCGTCGATTTCTATCACTTATATTTCTTGTCTCATGTATCTCCAAATCGTTTCTTATAAAAGAGTGTGAATAAGAACTAAGGTATTGTTTGGTCTTCCCTCAGTATGACTCGAAACTAATGGGAAAAAATGAAAGAAAAATTCCTTTGCAAAGTTATAAAACTAAAATTTACGGCAAGAGTACCATATAACCGTTTTTTTTAACTACCCCGCCCTGCAGTATAGGGCCCAGTAGTTCAAAGGCTGATTAGTGCTAACCCTGGGTTAAATTTTAATCCAGGTTTCTATTTTTCTTTGTTCAAAAGCTGTTTTGGATAATTTTCCCAATTCTTTTTAGAGCATTTAATCATCAAATTGTAGACAAATGTAATGAAACTCAATTTTCTTTTAAAGTTTTGAGATCTGAAATCAAATTTCACACTAACCCTGTATTACTTTGACCCACCCTCAGCAACCCGGCCTTGGATCTGCATGAATCCTTGTGAACATTCAAGGGTTGGAAAAATGGTACTTTGGATATTATTTGCCTAATTACTGGCAAACTATTCTCCTGCTTCTCCTACGGTTTGAGTTAGAAAATGAAGTGTCACGATATGATGTTAAGATCCCATGGCCACATATTTTAACCTCAGCCATCTACATTTAATTATGACTGTATCTTATCAAATATCCAGTAATTGTTGTGAATTATTCCAAGAGGATCTGTAGTATGCTATCAGGTTATCAGTTGTCTCCTTCTCCATGCACTAAAGAGATTTGGGCATCACAACCAAACTCTTCATGATCACCATACAGAGTTACCTTAACTCTTCCAATATCAGAGTTTAGAACTGTCTTTCATGAAAGTATGACGACATTTTTTATTGCCCAGCGTCAATTTGTCTATCAGTTTTAGCGACAATTTCTCCCCCCTCCTGCATTATACTTTTTCACACAGTAATTTAATTTGTTTGAAAACATGTTTGCTGAAGGGTTGCCCCATTCAGAGTGACAATGTTCAAGGCATTCTTTAGAAGGGGATCTTTTGATCCATTATCAAGTGAGGTAAGTGAAAGATAATGAAAGAGAAGAGTAAGTGCATGATACCCCAAAAGGGTTTGGTGATTATTTTTTAATAGATAATGTCCAGCAAGAAAACAGGAAAAACCAAGAAATATAAATACACATTCTTTTAGCTCACTGATCTTTATGCCTTAGGTGAGCTATGATGTAAAAATTTACAGACTCTGCCATTTTCCTCAACCCTTACACTCGCTGAAGTGTAACATGTAGCTTCTCCCGATTATTATGCATACATTACTCAAAACTCGATCGGTCATGAGAATCCTGGAACTTGATCAAACACCAAATTCTTTGAACTAAAATACAGGGAAATGTGTAGCAGCAAGGGGAGGGAATAAACAATTTGATCTTGAGAGTTAAACGGGTAAATCATTTCGATCAATGTTATTTACAGTTTCAAATTTCTTGTGGCCTACAGTGCATTATGCTTCTATTTTTCATCAGGCCTATACTGAACATCAGGCAATTTTAAATTAGAGCCACCATAACATGATGTTTCTTGACAGTTATCCAGATAGTGGAACCTGAATTTAAGGGATATGAGGGTGAAAGGTGTTTGTTAGGGAATTAAAAAGCTTGTTCGTGAGATAAATTTCAGTGAGTAACAAGAATTATGCTGAACATTTCATTTTCAAAGGTGTAAGTTAAAGTATGATCTTTATAATTCCCACCATAACCTATTTCCTACCATTTGCGTTCAACCCTTGAAGCGTGAACATTTTTTTGTGCATGTTTATTTTTCAATCAAGACAGTTTCCCAGACAACTGTGACGATTGGACTAATGAAAATGGAGCACGAAGTTTGTTTGACTAACATTCATAGTTTCGTGCTCCAAACGAAACATTTTCATTGGTCTAATCATCACAGTTGTGTGGGAAACTGTCTCGCTTGAAACATAAACATGCACGAGAAAACGTTCACGCTTCACGGTTGAACGCAAATCAGGTAGTACAAACTTTATAATGACTGGTTCACTAGTTCTTTCATGAAGGTGATAAGACTAAGAAATTCACAAGACTGACCTTTATACCGAGTATCACTTAATGGGTATATTTTAATTACATTTGTGTCTCTTGTATTAATTTTTTTATTCATATACTGATATTACTCTTTATATTTATTAATCTATTAAACTATATTTTTTATTTTAATTTTTCTTTGACAAATTTATAGGTTGACGAACTAACTGACTTGGACAAGTTGTACATGGCTTTAGCTGAAACTGGTCTAGAGTACGTGTGCGACTTTGATGCACTTTGCTACAGTCTCAATATTACCAGTCTAAAAGCCTTAGCAGAGTACAATGCAGCAGGCAGCACTGTTTTAGCTTCTGAAAAAATCTTAAAGCTGAAGAGAGAAATAAAAAGTAAACACCTCAACTTCAAAGATCTTTCCATTAAGGTATTAACAAGTACAATTCCAGATATAACTATAGTTCTAGTCTCATTGTTAGGGTTTACACATAACAATGATTAGCGTGCCTACTTGCTGGAGATAGTTTTTGTTTTTAAGCACGAGAATCTGCGCGGCGAATATTCGAACGCCCATGGGGTTATCCTTAAGGTTCTCGAAGTGGGTTGGCCGGCAATGAAAACTTTTCACCTCGGTCGTTAGTGCCGACCTCTCTACGTTCTGTTGCACCCATACAGACTTCACGTTCGGTACCTAAGAGCTACTGATTTCTTTTTTTTTTTGTTGCAGAGATACAAACAAAGTAAGGTTTTTAAGACTTGCAAAATGAAGCAAATTCCGGTTATTTCCAAGAAAGACATAGTCGTTACTCGCACCTTGCAGCAGGGTCTATTTAAGGGACAAGTATGCGAGGCCTTGTTGACTTTGCCGAATGGAAGACAGGTTAGTTGCTACCACTAAATTTTATTTTGTTATTTTCGTGGGTCCGGTTTGAGTAACTCTTTGGCGACATAGAAAAACCTTGCAAACCCCTTTAAGAAGTAACCTGCCCACAGTTGTACAAATAATTGTTACCAAATACAAAAAAAGAGTTTAATTTACTAGAGAATGAAAACTTATTATTATGTGAAAGGATGTGCACAGTACTCGCTTTGAAAAAGAGGCCAAATGTAAATCGCAAATGGGCTATTGCCTAGTCACCACAGAGCGTTTGTCTGGCTTACATTTTGCAGTGGTCTCTGGAGAACTGAGGATTTACTTCATTCGATATACTCTTCTTCGCTCTCAGTCTGTTTTTGCATTGATGTTTCATTCTATTACATTTATTTTAAATAATTTGTGATCATTGCAATCTCATTGGCTCTCTCAGGTGCGATTTATTCCCAATCACTGCATTTTATGCTTCGAATCGCACCTTTTCTCCAGCCGACGGGACAGCTCTTCTAAAACACAACAAACAATTAGAATTTAAGGCTTGTTTAAAGAAATCAAGCAAATTGCAAGGGAATGAGAGACAATTTTTGCAACTTTTTACAAACGATGAACTGGATCAATAAAATATTTGTACAGACTAAAAAGAAACTTGTATTAAGCGACTGAAGTTTGAGATTTTAAAATGGATGTAATAAAGTAGAAATTGAACTTCGTGTCGTGCAATTTTGGTCTGACATCATAATTTGGATTTCAAAATTAAACTCGCCCTATACGCACTCGTTTTATTTTCAAATCACGCGTATGATTTCAAACCAAATTGCACTCCACTCAGTTCAATTACCAGAACGAACTAAATTTGATTTAATTACCCAAATTACTTTAATTCCCAGTTGGGAAGTAGGATCCTTTAAGAGCACAAATTCTAAATGTATAATTCGCCGTAGGCTTTTTAGGGCGTGACTGCAGTTGTAGTCCATGTCATAGTAGATAATAGTATAATTATTAGCACAGTTATTGTTAGTAATATAACTATTATTAGTAGCAGTATAATAAAGCCAATAACCCTGAAGAGTGGTGGATCCAGACCTTGTGCTAAGGGGTGGGGGGGGGGGATTTTTGTGTGTGTACACTTGTGGCTTTTCTTCCTAGCGTGTATTTTGATTTTTTTTTTTTACTTTAAATAATAAATTGGAAGGGATCTGGGCCCCTCCCCTAGATCCGCCACTGCTGAAGAGGAAAGTCCAACTGAAATTTCATTGATCTGAACATTTCGGGCACATTTGTAATGAGAACTGTTCAAAAGAATCTAGAGTATATGTTAAAATAACTTAATGCATCATTATCATTGTTTTATTCCTGGACAGGAAAAGGTTTGTCTTCGGTATCAAACATCTGAAGATCAACACTTCCTGCACCAAGCAGACATTGCAAATCGACTTCGTCATGAGAATATTCTCGATTTTTACGGCGTGGTTATTGCTAGTTCTTATTCATCATCCGTGGCATTAGTAAGTTCTTTTAATCATTATAAGAGTTCGCCAGGAGCAGTTACATCGTACATAGGATTGTTTAGAACGAAATATTTGATAGCCTCTTTTGAGTTTATTTCTCATGCTTAAAGGTTCTTTTAGGACGTAATTCTGGTCAGACATAAACGTCAGTTTGAATGCCCTTAATTCGGTCACCTGGATATAACGAACAGTTTTTTTTGTCGGAGAAAAAAGCTTGCTTTCATATATTTTGCTTTTGTTTCTCAAAAAGTGTCCACCTCTCTTGTTTTTGTTGGTCAGTATTTTTGTTTTTATTTCGAGAACTTAAGTGATCCCTTTCAACAGAATTTCTCGTCATCAAATGGCACAGCCGCGGCTGTGGCTGTCCTTTCAGATTCTTATTCCATTCCCTAACTTTTCTTTTCTTGTCATTTCTAGGTAGAGGAATTTGGGGAGTATGGAAACCTCAAAGAATCAGCAACGAATCATAGTATTGAAAGCCTGTGTAGATTTACAATTCAGGCAGCAACGGCTCTTGAATACTTGGAGAAACGAAATGTTGTCCATCAGTCAGTCAATTGGTTTAATATTATGGTTGTTGCTGGTTATCAAGTAGGTTGGAATTGTAATTCAGTTGCAACTACACGTAGAATGTGCAAGCCCAGCTCGTGTATTCTACCATTTAAAGAGCAACTTGAAGTAATGCTACGCTCCTATGTGTAGAACCTGTTCAAAGCAGGTTAGGTATCTTTTGACGTGTTCAACATCACAATGACAAAAGCGCACATTTGAGTGACGAGTTTAGGTTGCTAACCCTTACTGTGACCCTGCCGACATTTGTGAATGTTTTTTGATTGTGTTTTCGGTGCCACCTAGCGAAGGTGGTGCAAATTTAATGTATGATTGCTGAGCTGAAAGAGCTGAAATATTAAGAAATGATGAATTGATGTCAATCGTTGGTCTTACGATACAGATTCAGGCTAATCAATTGTACTGATCGCGACGGTACGACTGCTATATATGCCTCAGTGCAGACACTGAGGCAAACTCTGGAATAAATGCTAGCTTTACACCATTGCCTGGGCGCTACACTTTTGGGAACAAGTGCAGACACCTTTCCATGCAAGAGTGCTCAAATCACACCTAAGGTGATGAGCTTTGCACGCGGGCTAAGCACATGGCAACCCCAGTGTAGAGTGCTCAATCGCAAGGCAGCCAAGTCGGTCAAGCCTAAAGCCAAAGCCAAGTAATATATTTAACAATTATTCCACGAGCGCGCGTTGGATATGAGATGATAGATAACCAACTCGGCGTGAAGCGCCGAGTTGGCGATAACCATCTCATATCCAACAAGCGCGAGTGGAATAATTGTTTTACTAAAAACATTAAATTCAATACCAAATTTTACTAAATTTTTAGCTCCCTTTTACTTTTAAGCTTTCGCGAGCGCTTACCATATTTGTAGATTATGGTATATTGGCACATATACCATAATGGCTAAGCCAATAAAAAGTCTTGAATTGCATTATCCAATGATCCAGTTTTTAATAAATATATAACTAACCGCAGACAGTACTGTTTCGGCCTTCTGGGCCTCATCAGTGCAGTGCAGATGCTAGAATGGAGGAGAACCGAGACCATCATCATATATAAGAGCTATATCTATATTTAGTATAATTTCAGAGCTGAGCAAAGAGTTTCCAGCGATCTGATTGTTCGAGCGGTTCCTTATATGACGCTATATAAACCGCTCCACGCGGTTTATATAAAATGTTAAAATAAAATGTTATTAAATGTTACTAAAATGTTATGATTTTAGAAATTTCTCTGTTGTTCAGTTCTGAAACTATACTAAGACAATTATTCGCCTCAAATTCGGTGAATATTGTCGAATAATCCCCTAGCCCCATGAAATTCTATTGTTCTCTCCCTGCATTAAATCAACGATTTGCATCAGGTTCAGTGAATATTGTCGAATAATCCCCTCGACTTCGTCTCGGGGATTATTCGACGATATTCACCTCACCTTCGGCGAATATATATATATATATATTTATAACTAACTGCAGACAGAACTGGTTCGGCCTTCTGGGCCTCATCAGGGCAGTGCTGATGCTAGGATGGAGGAGAACCGAGACAGTCACCCCAAACGACCCAACCTTTGTGGTGTCGTCTAAGCCATGCCAGAGTGCTCAAACTAGAGTAAACTAGCGAGCATGCGCAATTGCAGCAGCAATGACTCATCCTAGATAGAGTGCTCAATTTGGACGTGAAAGCAAAGCTTTGTATGCCAAAGAGCTATATCTATATCTATATATATATATAGATATAACAAATTAACAGGCTTCGAGCCAACAGAGACGCCGCGCCAGAAGGATCCAAAAAGGATTCGCTGTCCAAACCCCGATAAATAAAAGAAGAAGTAATGTGGCACATGAGGACGGACAAATTCGAGCGAAGGAAGACATATACTCAATAAAAAATCTAAAAAGTTTTAATAAAAAACATTTCGGTCCGAGACCTTCATCAGTTGTAATACAATAACTTACAAACTCCTCAAATATGTTTACAAAGAGGGCGTGATGACACGTATTAACAAAAACAGTAATTACTACTATAATTACTAGATATATTATTATACTGCCAGGCGAGGAGGTCGAAAGTTTACTTGTCGCTATTTAGAGCACCCTAGTTTGTTTTTATTGCTGTCTTTTAACGCCGTCAAAAAAGTAAATAAATCATTGCATTACTTAATGTTAATGATATGTGTTAGTGGAGTGAAACATGTAAATAATCTAGATATTGATTATTATTAACCGATGGTGGAACTGCTATTAGTTCTGGTGCCGACATGCACTTACATCTCAAGGGGTGGTATGAGTTATAGTCGTTTTCATAGTTGTAACTCATTATATTGTATCTGCATAGCCCATTTTCTTGTTGCATCTATACTTTTATCTATTATATTTATTCAACCCTAGCTAAAACTTACTGGCATTGGGGCTTGTTTGTTTGAAAACGACCCGAAAAGGTGAGTACATTTTTATTTGAAATCATTACATTCCAGAACGTCGAGTTTGAGTAAAGCTATTCCATCTAGAGTCAAGCAGCTTGAGCTACAGCTACTCCAAAGCAGTGAAAAGCGGGCGCATTCCTCAAAATTGTTTTATGTCTTCATCACAATACAAGAATTTTTGACATTTCCTTTCTCCAATGGAAACTGTCTTTATTTGTGTCGGTAAATTTGAGATCGAAGAAGGTGATTCCCACGTTACCCCATGCCACCATGCTGGTGGAAGTAGACAATACATATCTCATTAGCTCCTTTTGTTCGTCTACTGGCATTTAAATTTGACCCCCACACGTCAACGGTGAGTGACAAATGAGCCTAGGTCTTCCCAGGGAAGACTTCCTTATATAGCGCGCCTTCGTGTTTAATTGATGAAGATTTCTTCTGCCCATGTTGGTGGTGTTTCTTATAACCGGATGTGAACTACGAGCCCCTCCCTCGAACATGAACCACCGCTCACGATTCCCAATCCTGAGCTTGTAAGATTCTTTACGGTCTATGCAGGGACACCGCGGAAATACGTTTTCGTGACGTCACAGTAACTGGTCAGTGGTCATCAACTTTAGGCTGCCAAGCGGTTCCATATGTTCGCTATGTTCCATATGAAGACATCGGCTTTTTGCGTGGTTTTAAGTTGGAAAATATGCATGATACTTCTCCTTGTTTGTTATATTTGATCCTTTGAATTAGTTTTTAATACTAAAACCACGTCTTAACAACTAGCGGTATAGGGGAGTCATTTTGTTTGGAGTTGTGTGCTGTTTGCTGACTTAGGCTGGCCGTCCAGTTACGAAGCGCGATCTTGGTTCTTCAGTCGCCCTCGCCTTCAGAATTGTCAAAAACAGCGATAGTTATCCAGACAAAGCAGGAGATTAGTTCTGTAAGATACTTTACCAGCGAGTCTGAAGACTGGTTGGATTTTTAAGTGTTATTAGCATGAAGCGATACAGATAATTATTGTGTTTTGAAAATATTCATACACTCACTTACCGCCGACGTGCGGTGCCTTTTCATTTTGGTAATTATTCGCTTGGATGAGAATTTTACCTTTATAGACTGATTTTTCGCCATTGCACCCTTCTGATTTTCTGTGCCTTTAAGAACGGGTGTCCGTAATCAAAATATGAAAACATTTGTTCATTTCATATACTTGCAGTTTTATCATCAAGTTATCTCGTGAACAGGCACAACCAAACGTACTAAAGACATGTAATAGAGATCTACTATCAACTGCTGTCAATAAAGGCTTAATTGTTCAATTTAAANGAAAAAAAAGAAATTTCGCTCGCGGCCTGTCGATGCCATAGCCCACGATCCTCCTCGGTGATCTTTTGCGTGGCTCCTAAACGATGTGCTATTGAAGCACTTCCAGTGTGTTGTTACACGATTTCCCATGGTAATTTCCAGTTTTAATCATGTCGGGTAAACGTAAGCAATGGGACGACTACAAGAAGCGCCAAGGAAAGAGACGGGTGGGTGCAAAGAGCGTTAAAGCTAGCCCCAGGGGATCTGAAGGCACCTTGACTGTGCAGAGACTATCGGCAAACGTTCAAGGCAAGTGCCAAAAGTACAACCGCATTGGGCCTTTAACCCTCGTACCATTCGACAAAGAACCGACTTTAAAGAATATCAAGGAGGCCTAGAAGTCGCATTTTGGAACAAGTTGCGAATGTGATGTCCTCGCGGGCGAACGCGGGCCCTCGTACACGGATGAATGTCAGATCAAAGACTGGTCGAAGGTTAATAACATCAGATTTCTGGAATATGAGCAGTCGCAAAAAGCCGAGCAAGCAGTCTTCGTCCGGCCATTACATAAACGTGAGCCAGTTAGCCCAGGAGAATGCAATAGTGCGGCTACAGCTGTTACAAAATCGTCCGTCAAATGCTGAAAGTGGGCCAGCTTATAGAACCAGAAACAAATGTTGTCACGCTCCATCTACAAGAATTTGCAGTCAATGAATTGAAGTGGTTAGACCCTTTTCCGGTCACACTTTCACTGCATCGTAAGTATAGTTTTATCGTGTCAGCGGTCGTAACCGTTTCGTAAAGTGAAATACAATGACATAGCCAGGAGGACACAGCAAAAAATCACTTACTTTTTTAAAGGGTTACGACCGCTGACGTGATAAAATTATAGTAGGGGAGATGGGTCACTAGGAGCTCTCTCGAAACAATTACCTGGCAAAAACAAACATATATATCTTATATAAAACAAACTGAACATTTATTTAACCAACTGAAGTTGCTGGACAACAAACATCTTACCTCGGCATTCATAAAGATAATCCAGGTAGAATTTTCCTATAATTTTAGGGTTGTTGTTTGAAGTCCAAATTCTTAAGAAATTTATCCTGGCACTGTACATGTCTTGTGCACCGTAGATACACAAAGGAAACATCGCCTTCTGGTATCCGCAAAGCCGTGTCATGGCCATCTAAAGACATAGTGCAGTCCACTCCCTTTCGAATCCAGAAAATAAAGAAAATAGTGTTGTAACTACTCCTACTAGCTATTTCAACGCGGCGTCATTTCAAGTAAAAAAAAAACCGATAAACGCCGACTTGCACCAGAAACAAAAGTATTGGTTCTCCGGTGCTGCTTTGCTTTTCCCACACCTCCTCTAGCTTGAAGCCCTACCGGGGAAACTTCTCTCATCACAGCGTAAACAACATCATGGGGCACATTTAGCCCGTGAATCTCGCGTACCTTTTGTTGCATGGAACGATAGCCAAGCAGCTGTCCCGGACCATCCATTTCGCGTATCAGCTTCTTTCACATCTTCAATATCCACTTCATAAGTCGTGAACTTAATTTCAAAGTACTGCAGCCTGCGGGCTAAAGTTCGCTCACTCCATGCATACATTGGGTATTTCGATTCTATGAAGTCTAAAATCTCACTTAAANTGCGCTTTGGATATGAGATGATAGATAGCCAACTCGGCGCTACGCGCCTCTTTGGCTATAATCATCTCATATCCAACAAGCACGAATGGAATAATTGTTTTATTGAAAACGCCCCCAAGATATTAGACAAAGTTTACCAAATCTTAAATTTTTTAGCTCCCTTTTAATTCTAAGCTGACGCGTACGCTTGCCATATTTGTAGATTATGGTATATTGGCTCAAATACCATAATGGCTAAGCCAATAAAAAGTCTTGAATTGCATTATCCAATGATCTAGTTTTTAATAATATCCAATAGCCTCTGTTGTCTCTTCGTTTTCTTTGTCGTTCTCACTCTCCATAAAAAAATTTTAAACCATGGGCGTTACTCCTCAGGAGGACGTATTTGAAGCGATATTGGCGATGTCTTCTCTGCCTCTTTAATATTCGCTTAATTTTGCTTAACCTTGTTCATCTCCTAATTTAGGCTGATGAGAAAGATTCAAGATATGGCTATATGTGCCCTTCTCATTTTTGTGATGTGTTTCATCGTTGTTTCCTTGACAACGTGCACCAGCGACCTTCCTTCTCAGAAATCAGGCAATCTCTCATAGCACAGGTTAGCGCGTAACAACCTTCTTTTACAATCTAAGACTTGTTACATCGCAATACGTAAATTATTAGGTAGAGGTTGTATACCACCGTTTATACTCACCACGAACTTCTATTTGAAATGCTTCGATGACATTTTAAAAAAAATGTAGTGGTGGGCGTTAAAAACATCTTACTATATAACAGGAGGAAAACTGAGTGATCCAATATCTGAGAACGGAAAAAAGGCGGTTGTAAAAAGAACTAGACACTCGAGAAGTGTTCAATCGGGCTTCGTCTATAGCCATGGCATTCACACAAAACACGAGTAAAACTATAATATACATACTTTGCACAATGAGATCTGAATTGATGTACTTTTATTGACACTGTAACGTCATTATGTTCATATACATTAGTCATATTGACAAATTTTTCTAGTAGATCACAGTATAAATTATGTCTTTTAATAAGCAAATACAACTCCGTGCAAAGAGCAAACCAACATTCACGATCGCTTGTACAATAATAATAGTGATTATGTTCGAAATACCAAATCGTACTTTACAAGTTGCTTCTGTCAGTATCCTTATCCAAATCGCTGTTGATAGCGCCACCCTCGAAGTTGTTTTCACAAACATTCTTAATTTTTTCAACAAGTGAGGTGTTCGTCTCAGCATCATAGTTTGTTGTTAAATCGGCTGTCACAGTTTTGCCAATATTTTCGTAGTTTAAATTCACATACGGCACATTTGTTATCTAGTGAGAACTAGTATGAACTTTGGACACTTGGGTAGCTTTCAAGCCATTTAGTTCGTGGACCGGCCCATTCCGAAAACGCTCCACATCACCTAGTGTGGGGCTACCACTAACGGCGTGTGCGTTTGTATGTGAGATGAGCGTATAAGACAGGAATATTTGCAAAGCGATCTTCACAAAACACAGCATTCTGTAAATTCTGTTGTTTACGAAGAAGGAGTACATGATAACATAAGTTGTTGCACTCTCATCCCCAGTTTCCGCGGATTGCGCAAGAAACGCCTGGGACCATGAAAGGCTTGTATTTTAAGACTTGGGCTTTCCTACGGAAGCCCTAGTTACAAATTGTTAGCATTTTCTCATCGTTCCTAGGGAACGTGCAGCGAAAGAATACACGAGGGGTTGGAGCACGCTTGACTCTTGCAGGATTGTTGAAAAACCTTAGCAGGGAGCTGGTCACCCGAGATCTCGAAGTGACACAAACATTGCTACCAAAAGTGAATTGATAATTCATTTGTTTCGTGTGGTAACGTAGACTGTTGTTCATAAATTTCTTGTCACTTTATTGTTCTACTTCCATATTACTGTACAGGAGTGCCCATCTAAAGTGAAGGTTATTGGAAGATTTCTTGCGCCAGAAGGAGGATTTCTCACATGTGATACGGGAGAAGTTATTACTCTTATATCTAAGAAAAGACACATGTAAGTACATCGCAATATTTTTCACTCCAGTCCTCAAGCTATGCAATCCTAATCTGAAATGAAGACCTCAATATGCTTTACAAATATTTGAAGATCAAAAGTATTCGTAGATTTTTTCTAATTGGAAACTCATATATTCCCATACAGGAAGTACAAAAACGCTTGGTTAGGTGCCACACAAAGTGGTAAAGTAGGATTTATCTGGAAGGAGTTTGTTCAGGAAACATTGGATAAGAATGTTGATGGTACGTACCATTTTGCCTCAGTGCAGGCTTTGGCTCATGGTCTTTCGTAAAGGAAAAACTGTACTCTCTTCTACTGCAGGCTCTGTTATGCCACTAGAGATTCAGGCACGAGGTCCAAGAGCTGAACTAGCCTTTCAGAAGGCATTGCAGAATGGCAAGGTGCAAGTTTTCCGAGGTCGCATCATGATACTCGGCCAGGACCGCGCGGGGAAAACAAGTCTTAAGAAATCTCTGCTCGGCATGCCCTTTAATCCCGAGGAAGAGAGCACTGTAGGGGTCGAAGTTGACCCATCCAAGTGCGAAGTGGATGTGGATCAAGTAACGAATTGGCAGCGCACAGAGCACACGAAACTGGATGTTTCTCATTTTGTTGAAGACATAGCAAGAATAGTTGCTAAAGACTTAAAGGAAACAGAAGAAGAGCCGAAGAAGACAAAAGATGTCCCTTCGTTTTTGGAGCAGGTAAAACTAATTCTCTTCAAGGTTATTTCTGTCGAATTGCGCTCATCCCAGCAACGGAGTTATTTTCTTTTTTCCCTTTTCTTTAAATTCCTCTTCCTTTTTACTATACCTTTCTCTGCCATCCTCGTTCCCTTTCTTTAAAGGCCAAATCCATGCCACTTCACAGCGTAGACAAGTGAAGTTTTTTTTTTAGTTTTGTTTCCCTTGTGTTGACAACGTCGATAACGTAAATATAAATCTTGTCACAGGGATATAGCGACGGGGTAGTAGCTGACAATCTAATGCCTGTAACTACGACGGATTCAAATACCTTAAACAATTTATCGCCACGAAGAAAAGAAGATGTACCGGAAACCAGCCAAGCTGAGGGGGATATTCAACTGAGAGTTGACAACAATTCAGAATTACAGAATGATGTCACGGAACTGGTTGTGCAGTATTTGCAGGCTTTGAGATTAGAAGATCACATAAAGACGAAAGAAACCAGTTTTACTCTCTGGGATTTCGCTGGGCAGCATCTGTACTACGCCTCGCACTCAGTATTCCTTTCTCCTCGAGCTGTTTATGCCTTGGTTTACAACCTGAGCAAAGATCTGAATGCTCCCGCTGAACTTCGAGTGAAACAGGGTATTCATGATATCGTCCTTGAAGAACAAAGTAGTGAGACAAATTTGGAGAGTTTGCTATCGTGGTTGTGTTCCATTCACAGTGTTCACGTAGCAGCCGCAGAACCAGGCAATGAACAGCAAGAGAAACGGTCTTACCTTCGCCCACCAGTGTTCATCATAGGTACTAATGCTGATAGACCTTTTGATGATGTCATGAAAATGGAAAAGAGTATTCAAAAGAATATTTCGGGGAAAGTTTACGAGGAGCACGTGATCAGGCCATTCTTTGCGGTTGATAACACACGATCGATGGGCGATGATGGTGTTCAAGCGCTGCAGCAGAGGATCATGGATGTTTTCAAACAAGAGCCGTACATGGGTGAAGAGATTCCAATAAGGTATGATAACTGAAACAACATTAGTTCTCCAGCTCTCGCGAAACAGCGTATCACGGAAATATTATGCATAAAAATGGACTCATCTGAGCAAAAAAATTTTATTTGTTTTATGAACCCTCGTATTCCACGTATCGTCACATCACCCTTAGAACAATATCAGTCAACATAATCTAGACTTTTTTCTTTACTGTTAGTCCGCACCAAGGACAAGTATTTGTTCTAGAAACAGCACTTTCCGAGTAATTGCACTAACCCAACTTGCCTGTAACATTTAGATGGTTGTCTTCCGCATAGGTGGTTCAACTTCGAGAAAATTATCGAAGCTTTGGTGGCAAAGGGAACCTTCCACATGGATTTTGATCGGCTTCAAACAGTCACCAAGAGAGTTTGCCAAATAGATGACAAGGAAGAAATGGACGCCATGTTAAATTTCTATCATGACTTGGGAGTGGTCGTGAAACATGGCCGGACGGTTGTCCTGCATGCACAGTGGCTGATCGACCTTTTCAAGAAATTGATAACCGTGAGGCCGTTTGACGAAATGGTAAGAAAGTGTGAGCATAGCTTCCACAACATTTACACTATTTACATTTTACATTTATATAGCGCAGACTTCTATGTGGATATATTTAGTCGCGCTTAACAGTATCGTAAGGTTGAGATCGGACGTCAGCATTCTTATCAGGCGCCTCTGGCAACCGCTTCAGTCCATGAAGCGATCTCACCATCCCACCCATCCCTCCCCGGGGAGGACATCCACTACACAGTAACCTCGTGCATGGGAAATTTACGTCTCCTACCCCCTATCCCTGCAGGAGACGGGACCTACGGCTTTACGTCTTATCCGAGAAGACGAAGCAATGTGAGTGAAGCGTCTTGCTTAAGGACACAAGTAGATCCTATGCTTACTTTTTCCCCTTAATTTTGCCTGTTGTCATCCAGTACGACCTTTAATTATGAAAGGGTCACTGCATTTTTTATTGTTTTATTTTTTCTTCACGGGGCCTTGCTGAAAATATTTGTGATTTTCTATTTTCAGAATCCTCTGTATTCAAAATGTTGGCATGAACTTGAAGCAAGTGGTATTCTAAAGATGACTCTTGTAGATCACGTTTTCTCTGATCTCATCCAGAGAGGGCTTTCCAAAGAAGACATTTTGGACATGATGGAGCTGTACGGCTTGATTGCTAAATTTTCCTTCTCCCCAGTTTCTTCCGAAGATGAGCAGAGATACTTTGTTCCAGCCCAGTTAAGATCATCCCCAGCAGGTCTCTGTGAGATAAAGACATCTGGCAATGATCCGTGCCCTTTGTATCTTCATTTCCTTGATGGTTTTGTACCTCGTGGGTTGTTTCCTCAACTTCTGTCTAAATTTATCCGCTGGTCTTCAGAGCGTAGTCCTAATCGAGCTCCAAATCTATATCATAATGGTGCGCGGCTTTTCATTGGAATGAAGAGTATTTGCTGTCTCGTCCTCATCTGCAAAAAACGATTAATCAAGATCATGTTGAAACAAGGAAATCCTTTGAATACTTGGTTCATGAATGTTGCCCAGGAGGTTCGCATGTATCTTGAAGATAGCTTGCGAGAGCTGAGCCGCGAAGTGCCATGCCTACGCAACCTGAAGTACGAACTGTGTGTTGGATGCCCCAGTTGCTTAACCAGCGGAGAGGAGTGTGCTAAGCATAAGTCAGTGGACTGTGCTCACGAAGATTGTGTCCATCTTCTCCGAGTAATTCCAGAGGAGCAGCTATTTTGTCCAAAAACCTTCAACGATGAAGCACTTAAATTTCATGGACTGGACGACTGGTTCCATTTTAATAAAACTAAGGTAGAGATCTTTCAGCTGTTGTTGTTGGTTTTTTTGTTTTGTTTTTTTTTGTTTTCAATTTTTTCACTCTTATTTTGTTTGATTTTCTTTGCTTTTTTAAACTCGACCTGCATGCATGAAATTACCAATCATTCTTTGCAATGACGTTCATGACCTAGATGCATTGTAAAACGTGTTTTGCGAATAAATGTCGAAATAGAGACGTTGTCATTGTTATTTGTTTGTTTTGTGTGTGTGTGTTTATATATATATATATATATAACTATTTGATTTAATGTTTGATAATGTAGTTATTGTACATGTATGCAGGAAATTTTCAAGTATGTTGTTGCATTTGATGCTACATAGTGTAGACAAGTTAGATAAAATTATTTCGCGGATGATCCTTGAAAAAAATTTGGTATCAAACTACAAATGATTCCTCTACTCTACGGTAGCCTTGTACATTGCCAATAGCCATTTAGTTTTTCTTTTATTTAGAATGAAGAACAGCTGCAGATAATGAATCCGGAAGATTCTGAAGGTGAGAAACACTCATTCCATCTAGACGAAGGGACGGATACTTACACGAGGTTTAACCCAAAGTGCGGTTTTAAGCTAGCAGTGGGGCACATGGATTCTTTTTAAAAAGGATTGATTCAAGGAAATAAATGTCCTTCCTCTAATAATTCTCGGACCTCTTGACACAGTTCACAAAGAGCAGCTAAACTTTTCTTAAGTAGCCGTTCCTAGATATTTAAGCCGTAGGCCCCACACAAGAAAAATTTCATTTAAGAGATATCGCCTGTAAGTTAGTGATTGTTAGAAGTTCAAGTCAGTCTCAGGAAAAGAGGACTTGGGTAGCCAGTGGGTTAGTATTCTAAATGTTAAAATTATAAGAAAATTATATGCCCTTATTATAGCTTTATTCATCTTACATTAAAGTGCAGTTACCATTCATTTTCTCGAACTCTTAGCAGAAAGAAAGGGCGAAATAAGAGTTTTGAATAATTATTCTTGGTCCACTCTGGCTGATTTATACTTTAGATTGATGGTTGGTGGTTCACGGAAGTATAAAACTCATTCGTAATCGAGTTGTGAATACTATAGTTAGTGTTTCACTCAAAACCACCAAGACAACAGCAATTGTTCACTCGGACTCTACCTAACTCCATGAGCTGTTTCCTTGATGTTTTAAACAGCGCTCCAGCGAGCTTACCCTTGCAAAACAGGCACACCTTCAACAGATGACCTCCTCCTTCTCGCTTTTGAGTTGGGTTCATCGTGGAAGATGCTGGGTAGGAAACTCTCTCTTCCTGAAGCAGTGCTGGAGCAAATAGAGGAGGACAACCCCAAGCTGAATGAAAAATGTTTCAGTGTGTTGAGACGATGGACTGAGATGTTTGGCTCTTCGGCTACCTACGAGTCTCTGGCACAAGCTTTGGAGCACCCCACGGTGGATCGAGAGGCGCTAGCTGTCAAATACTGCGACTTCCCAGGAGATGTTTACAGTGGTAAATAAAAACGAGCAAGGACAAAAAGAATTTTTTTTAATTATTTTTTATACTTTTAAGCTTTGATAGAGATATATGCCACAAGAATTGCGTGATATTTATCTCCACCAACAAAGACTACTTTCAAAAATTTCATAATGACCTTTTTGCGTTTAAAGGCTATAACGAAAACTTTTCGAAAATTGTCTGTAGATGTGTACAAAATTTCGAAAACGATCCCGCTAACCTAGAAAAAACTCAGCAGTTTAGCTGTAAAGGCATACGGTCTCTGAATTCAACCATAAGGCAGAGAAATGAAAGTCATGGTTCACAAAAACCACTGCCTAGGCCAAGTGGAAAGGCTGCTAAGAATTATTCAAGATGGCGGCGTCCTTGATCAAATTTTATCAAGTTTTCTGGTTTGTATCGTCAATCTTCATGCGGATTAAATCGAGGACGGATAAATTCTGCGGCGTAAAGTGTCTCAACTAGCCTTATCATTGTATGCACAGCAAAGGCAGCGCTTGCTGTTTACTACTAAGAGAGTTCTTCTGCCAGGTTGATCTAGATTATAGTGACTACAATCAGGAGATGCCCTATTCTAAAATGTGACTGAAAGTCTTAAAGTCGCAGTATCATGGCGTAAACCTTTTCTGTAATCGATATTAAACTATTTGGTCGTGGTAGTAGCAAGTATGATAACTGATATCGTAAAAAATAGACAACTTTTTTGAGAGACATGTTTCGGCATGCTTATACCATATTCAATCAATGAGTAACAGAACGTACTTATATAGGCTAGACTGATTCCCTTCTTCATTCAGTAAATGGTTTGAACCCGGAGGTAACATGTGATAATGTACTCTTATGGTCCGTCTGAGTGTAGTCCTGAGAAGGACTGTTGTCGGTAGTTTACTTTGATGATGACTTCCGCTCAGGTTGTCGAAACGTCAGTCACCGCTACACCGACAACATTCCTTCTCAGGACTACTGGCCCGGAAGATCAGACTACACGACCACATAATTCTTCCCTGTTCTGATTCCCAGTGTCAGAACTGGTAGTCGAATATTATCTCAGTTTAAATAAAAAACGACGTTTCAAGCGTTAGCCCTTCGTCAGAGCGAGTCTTGTTTCTGTGCATACATATAACATGCCAACGTCCTGGCTTTAAGGTGGCCTTCTCTTTATGTTTTAGGATCATTCGGTTATCGAGCCCACCTCTTTATTGTTTTCGCTAATTTGCTTTTGTAATCGTTACGGTGGCCAATTTACCATTTCAACTTTGTTGATATATCCAAATTATTTCGTTACTCCCACCGACGCAGCCCCAAACAGTTTCTTTCGAAACTATCAGCCTTTATTCATAAATAAAAAACGGTTACCGTAAAACGTACATCAAAGTAAACACCGTAGTGAACTTGTTGATTTACTGGGCAGAATATAGTTAGAATATACAGTAATTATACAGTAATTATACAGTAATTATACAGTAATTATACAGTAATTACACTAAAAGGCGGTCCTACTGTGATTACTATGAACAGAGTTGAGTCTCTGACAACTAGAGAGGACTTGGGTAGCCGGTGGGTTAGTATTCTTAATGATGAAATTATAAAAAGTTATATCACCCTTATTCTAGCTTTATTCATCTTGATATGCTTGATATGTTATTTTAATTACTGTTGTTTACTTCATGTTTTTATGGTCATTTTGAGTGTGATATACAGATATAGATTGAGCAATATGAATCACTACAAAACATTAAAGTGACAAAACAAAATTTATGGTTCCAATCATAATTTCAAGAATTTGACTGTGAACACGTATTATGATAACAATTATTGCACGCAAATAATACAAACGCCTGCTGTTTGGTTTGAGGAGTCTATTCCGAGTCTTGTTTCTGTGCATGCATATTACATGCCAACGTCCTGGCTTCAAGGTGGCCTTCTCTTTTTGTTTTAGGATCTTTCGTTTTTCGAGCCCACCTCTTTATTGTTTTCCCTAATTTGCTTTGTCTTAGGTTACATATATGGCAACTGCCAATTTTATTTGAGTCTTTTGTCCATGTGCCACCGCCGTGTATATCTCGAGACTATCAAATGTTAAAATATCGCTATTAAAACTATTCAACTGTAGCGATTATTTTTTTAAATCTAAGACTTTTGACACTGCCTTGTCAAGAAAGCTTTCATCAAATATGAACCAATCCTATTCATTCTCCATGCAAGTGAAAACTCCATACAGGTATAATTCCTATTCATAGTGTCTATCTTGTCCAAAACATTGACAATGATTCAGTGTAGTGTAAAATCTAAAAGCCTGCAACCACATGATCATTCTAACGGCGTTGCTACTCTCTTACCTGCCCGTAATCGTGCAAGCACACCTATCTCAGATAACTTGGTGGATCCCCGCGTGATGTACACACGATCAGCATCTTCCTACATCATTGCTAGATTGAGCTTACTCTTCAATCCACTGACTTACTTCATTGCGTTTTTAAAAACCTAGACTTATTACAACCTATTACCGGCGTATAACAAAGTTTCATCGTCCATTTCTTAATATCTGACATATTGGCCACACAGGTCAGCCCAAACACGGAATTTTTCTCAAATCCTTACGAATAATGAGCTAGTCTCTCACCGGATTACGAGGCTTGAACAGCTGTCGCTATTATATTATCTGAGAATTGTTTATCACGTGGACATAATTCTATCAAGGACGGTTCCCGTTTACTAAATTTTTCTATCAACAATTAATGTAAATTTTATGTGTAAATCTTCAATTAGTGCTGTCCTTTTTCCTTTTAATTTTTTTTTGTTTTTTGATATTTAACACTTGTGAAATGTCAACACCACACAGCTTCTTACTCGTTTGTGGGAACCAGCTCGAAGTGTGCATTGCACTAAATAGTAGGTTTTGATATTAAAACGTCCTTTTTCTAGTTTACTTCTGATAAATATAAAAAGAGGTAGATAAAAGGAGAGAGAACCCATCCTGAGCATATCCTGTTTGCCATGTACTTGAATCCGAAGACGTCGTTTACGCAAGCGTTGTACGGAAATAATGCCTCACCTCGCTGAAATATGACCAGAATTTCCACGATTGATGGCTCAAAATTAATTTCTTGCATTACATTACTAAACCAACTAAGCTAAAGACGCACGAAATGGCAACAAAAATTCACAAATAGAACGAGAAAGGAATCTGTTTTTTAGATCAAATTTTCCTTTCGTACATTAAATTGTCCTTTTTGCCAGGAAGGACAGGTGGTGATTTTCTCTTTTCCTAGAAAATTGCAAATAAGTGATTGCAAGGAAAAAAGTATTTCTTTCTGAGTTAAAATTCCTGTTGACTATGAAACAACTGTAGAACACGAAGTAAATGCTTTCCTTTAAAGATAGCAAAGAATAAGCGAACCAATGAATTAGAATAGTAGAAGTTTCAAGTAAGTGTATAATTTGTCGTCAGCAAAGAAACTGATTAACATACAGAGACGAAAATTACGAAAAGTTATTTATCGACATTATAGCCAAACCGGCAACCCAAGCACTGTGCTCACTATCGATTTTTGATTCGTTACAAAATTGGGCTGGAACATTTCTAAAAACAAGAAATATTTTGTTGGCTTTATAAAGTTCAGTTAATCCTTTTCTGGGTAGTATCTAGTTTGATTTAATGAAGAAAATCTGTCTTGAAGCAGAATTTTAAGTATGAAAAGCACTTTCCCATGCACTTTAGATATGAAAAAAGTACTAAATTTATAACCTATAAACTGAAGTATTAGCATCACAATGTATGACTAATTTATATCTGCCTGAAATGAGAAAGCTCCGCCTTAGCTTATTCAAATACTACATGTTGTACTGTAGTTCAAGAATCCCTTTGAAAAAGTCCAAAATTAGAAGGAATTATCGAACAAAATGAAATAATAATAAAAAAGACATATCTCTCAAGTTAGCTCTCTGTGTTTGTTTTAGTGGAAATGTGACATGTAGAGTCGTTAAATAGAGAGTTTTGAAGGCAACATCGGTCAATGAAAATATAATCATAAAAGACAAATGAAAATGTGAAAATCTTGGCGTTCATTTAAAGGCGGAAATTAATCAAATTCATCGTAGTTTGAGAACATTTGCAGCCTACCAAATAAGAAATAGCAAAGTACGTATCATGAAAGCTTGCCAGTCTGAGGCATAACAACAACGTCACATCGTACGATCTCAGAGAAAACCATTTCCGCTAATGCCGAACACAAATCTGTTTGAGAACAACACATCATCAGATGCTTGCCATTTTCTTGACTACATGGCATGGCAGCCAAGATACCTCACGAACGGATTCTACGAAAATCTGGTCGCTATCATTTGTATCAACGCAATCTAAGCCACAATAGCTGTTCCTTTAAATTCGATGATTATCATAGCTGTAGTCATCAAGGAGGAGTTGAGAGAGAACTAGTTCCAAAACATCCTCTTGTCGTGTTTGGCGGGAACGGATTTACTGATCACCTCGCTCGCACAACCCTTTAGTTGTTCATAACGACAGAGGTTAAACACATTCTTGATGTCAGCCCCTTCTACACTTTTGACAAAGTCGTAGGGATTGCTGGCTATGGGCTGACCTTCGTGTCAGTTGGCCATCTTGTGGTAATAAGCATTGAACGCTACATTTTCATCAAGTTCCCCCTAAGATACCAAGACATCGTCACAAAAGAGGAAATAACTGCTAGTGTGTTGACGACCTGGGCTGTTGCAGCAATCGGAGCAAGTCAAACGACCGCCCATGCATCCATGATGACCGAGTCAGAACCCTCCACAAAGCTATATACAGCTGCTGATACACTGTTAGCCTTCTTACAACTCCTTATTATTGGAATCATTCTATACTGCTCTATAATCATCTTCTCAGAAGCCCGAAACCAAAGGCGTCGATTGCAAAATGAGCCACTAAAAAAAGAATAGGTCCGTTAACTGAGGAAAAACAACAAGGCAGCCAACACTCTGGCAATCGTCAAAACGGTTCTTTTCTTCTCCTACTCACCCGTAAACTTAGTTTTGGTAATGGCCCCCTTCTTCGATACCCTGTTAGAGCCTCGTATGCTGTATATAGCCTCATCATGATCCTATACATTTGGTATGATGGGTTCTCTTCTTCACCCACTCATTTACTGCTGGCGTCTTTAAACGCTTCGCCGCGCATTTCTTGAGATCCTGCATATAAGACGCACACAAGCCATTCCGGACATGGAATTACGATCCAAGCGGAATAATCAGCCACAACCTGCAAATGAGGCTTGGAAAGTAGTCTCTAATGGCTAATAACTTCTATGATGACTAAATGATGCTTGAAACTAAAATTTAAGATGAAGAACATTTCACTTCGAAGCATTATTCATGAACGTGAATTTTTGTTTTCCTTTAAGCCCCAAGAAAATCCAACATTGTTCGCTGCGAGTAAGGAGTTCCATTTTATTTAAAGTAAACCAACCCAAAGAGTAGGCTTCTCATTTTCTCTTTACGGCTCCAATCTAGTGAAGGGAACGGAGTTAATAAATTCAATGTAAGCGTTTCTAAAAGAAATAATTGTTACTGCGAAGAGGTAAAGGATAGTGAAAACGTAGAAGGATCCGAATGGTGGTTAGTTGAGGTATCGGTGAGAAGATTCAAGATTACAAGTCAGAGGAGGAACATGAGTTGCCATAGAAACACGTTGGCTTGTGTTCAGCATTTCGTTTGTTCAAATAAGATAGAACGATATGAATGACCTTAGATTAGCTAATTTTCTGTTCGTGCTTCAGTTAATCTTCTATGTTCGCACAATTACAGCTTAATCGGAATAAAATGTAAATAGTCGCCTTTATGATCACGCCCGTGTGTGTTCCAAACATAGATATCATATCCAGCGATTCCAATTTTTTTCCCACAATGCTTCCTGTTCAAGTTACCCTCAAGCGAGTCAAACTTGTCCGTGTCATCCTTACCATTTTATAAGCTTAATTTAATTATTCTTTTGCAGTAGGAAATAATTTTACTCTACTGCCTATGAAAAATTGTTCACATGGTTCATTTAAAGTTTCTGATTTTTTTCCCTCATCGACATAGCTTATAAAAAATAATTGTTAGCTTGCCAACTTGGCTGATTTGGGTTTATCCATTATTATAATTATTGTTAGTATTATTATGATCATTAGTATTATTATTATCATCATCTTTATCGCCATCGTCATCAGTCATAAGCTTCATTCTTACTATCATTCTCATTATTTATTTTCGTTAGCGCCGCCCAGAAATATAGCTAAACCCCTGAAATGTAACCATAATTTCCCCGGTGGCTAGCTCGAAAGCTATTTCATAACATTATTTGAGCAGCTAACTTGTGACGCAAGAAATTACGAAAAGAAGTTTCAAAATTATTATGGGAAAGAAATCTCTTTTATTGATCATATTTTACTTTCGTGCATTAAAATGCGCTTTTCCCCAGAAAGGACAGGTCGTGATTTTCTCTTTTCCTTTTAAATTGTAGATCTAAAAAAAAAAACTCCGGTTGGCAATGAAACAAATGCAGAATAAACCGAAGTCAATGCTTTTTTAAAAAAATGTAGCAACGAATAAACGAGCCAATAAATTAGAAAAAGGTAGAACTTTTAACTGACTATGAATTGTCGCTCGCTAACAAACTGATTAACAATCACAGACGGAAACTGAGATTTTTGAAGTGTGTATTAAATGTATAGGGGAATCCTTGTTTACAATATTTGCCTCATTAGCATAAGCA